TGACGACATTCCCATCTTCCCTTCTTCTTCGTCTAACCCCACCTCCTTCGTCTGTGTATGGTTGGGGCTGGCGCAGTCTTCTTGTGTGAAGCGCCAGACCCCTTCGCACCATGATGATGATGATGTATGTTCGGGGCTGCATTACAATATTGATTGTTCGGATCATTGGTATCTAAGTCTTCCGCTGTGCTATCTTATACCTTGTATTGAAAGGTCGGTTCTTGTTCTGGTCTGCACCTATACGGTATGCAACAGAGTCCCTCAATGGTTCTGCAGCACCTTTTCTTCCAGATGGACCACAGCATTGCCTTTCTGATCATTCCAAACCACGTTTACTGTGTCTTGTGTAATTGAGCTGGGATGTTAGTCCATAGGAGGAGTTGGATGGGGCTTTCAGGGAGGGGAGTCGAGAAAAGGGAATCCCAGAGATCCGAGGCGCTCACCCGCTATTTCGTCGCCTCTCCACAGCGTATCAGGCAATGTAGCACATATCTTCTGGTTCATTTTCTGAACATCCCGCGTATAAATCTGAACTGTTAGGGTCATTCTTCTTCCGATATGCAGCCACTGGCCCACTGGTTAACCAGTAGAGCCACTTATTTGATGAGCCATTGGAGACTTCTGATTTTGACCAGACTCATTGACTTGAATTTTTTCCATGGTTCCATGGTATTTTTGGGATCTGACTAGCGTCCTGCCCAATTAACTTTGCCATCTGTTCTTGATCGTTGGGTCAGGTTCATACTTGCAACCGCACCGTGCGTGTTACGGCCGCCAGGGCTCGACCCCTGGTCTGCTGGTTACCACCCGCCAGCTTGCTGTATTTGTTTTCTTTTTTTTTTACAATTCTTTTTGTTTTTGATTCTTGCTTCTCTGATTTCGTACAGTTGGCACCATCTGCATTCTGGCGCCCGTTTTCAAATTCCTGCTTTTGGGACTTTCGAATTTCGGACAGTTGGCACCATCCGACATTCTGGCGCCTACTCGCAGACTTTCGAATTTCAGTTCTGGCCCTGAGGCATTTTCACTTTCGCCCTCAGGACCGTACTTGAGTCGGGCACTCATATACGGACTGAAGCCCAGTACGGGCACCAAGTTTTCAGCCTCAGTGCTTGTGCTTAGTGCGACTTCGCTTCGACATTGTGTTCGGGCATTCAAGACTGCAACTTTGCGACTTTTGCCACTTGGTGCCTGCATCCGTCGAGTCGTGTCGAGTCTGCGTCGGGTTGAGTAAGTGTGTGTGTGCACTCTCACTCTCCCTCTCTCTCCCAGCCTTGCTGCTCTGCCGCTGCCTCATCACACTGGTATCAGAGCGGCATCGATCGCCCTCCCGCCCACCCTGATCAACGCGGAGCCGCTTCAATGACGCCATGCCATCCTCGTCATCATATTCTTCAACGCCGACATTGCCACGTCATCCACGTTGTCGTCATCTTCAACGTCGACATTGCCACATCATCATCAGTGTCGCCACGTTGTTGCTTCCACGTCATCAACGATCCTGAAACGCCGACTTGCAGGTATGTTATTACAATTTTTTTCTTTTATCTTTCCTCTCTTTTCTTTCTTCTTCTTCGACATTGATTCTTCTTCTTCCTCTTTGACAACGTTTCTTTTCTCTGCTTCGTCGTTGTTTCTTCCTTCGTTTCTCTTCCTCTTTCCTTTCTCATCGACCCTCCCCCCCCCGTCGTTCTTTGAAATTGAAAATCTCGAAACCGAAATCAATTCGATTTCGATTTGATTCTTTTCGCCCCCCTGCACTGTATTCACGGTCATCATCATCATCATCCTGATCGCCGTCATCATCATCATCATCCTGATCGTCGTCATCATCATCATCATCATCATCATCATCATCCTGATCGTCGTCATCATCATTGTCTTCCCCCCCCC